ATGTGGATCTCTGATTAGAAATAGCAACTGATTGGCTTCTTGGACAAAGAATCTTTATCATGTCTGGCAATGGAAGATTGTCAAGGATTGGGGATTGTATATGATCTTTTTATTTAAAGATATGGCCGTATGAGGGCTGTTAATACAGATAAGATATTTCAACTGTTTAATGAACAGGACCAAGTTTGGATTTTTACATTCTTCATTATCCATTGTTGATCAATGTTTCAAACAAGTTGGCTTCAAAATGTTTTTAAAGGTTGCTGCATCTCTACATATTCGTAATAGGTTGGCTTCAAAATGTCCTTCCACAAGGACCAAGGTACATTTGCTTCTCCTCTCCCTCTCTAAACTAATTTAATAGAATGTTACTGAGTATTGCAAGAAATTCACCAAAAAAATCCTGCAGTATTAGCATTTAAGTGTCAATGTTAATACTTGGATGATATATTGGATCGTGGAAGGAGTCACTCTGTAGGTAATATTTCGACCCTATTGCAGTATGAAAAGATTGAGAAGATTGGTGAAGGAACATATGGTGTGATAGAATAACCAATAAAACTATTGCTTTGAAGAAGATTCGTCTGGAGCAAAAAGATGAGGGAGTTCCAAGCACAACTACAAGAGAAATCTCGATGTTGAAAGAGATGGAACATGAAAACATTGTTAGGTATATTTGAATGTTAGGACAGTCTTATGAATTTAGTTAAGCAATAACCAGCTATTTTATTTGGCATCTAGGCCTCTGATATTTGGGTTTCAATAGATGGTGCATGCTCTTATATATATGACTTACAAGAAATGAAGTGGAAATTGGGATGCTTGTTTTCAAATATGTAATTTTACCGCAATAAGTAGCCAAAACCCAAGGTCTATGAAATCTTTTATTTGAGATTGGATTAGTGGCCCTATATAAGACCTCCAATTTCTTTCTCTGTTATTGTGTAAAAATCTATCATTGACAAAGGCCATCTGATAATTTGATCTGACAATGTTTCCTTTCAATCTATATATGCTTCACTCTCCAACATTTCTCTTTTAGGCTCCATCATTCCTGTTTGCTTTCTACCTGAATGGCTTTCACTCTCCACTATTCTCAAAAGAAAGAACATTGCAATTAATGTTTGCAATTGTTAAGACTGTAATTCTACTTCTGCAATAAGTAAGTTTATTGCTTGCGTAGATAGACAATTGGATTTTAATGCTTAGAGGTCAAATTTTGTGTCATATTAAAGAAGAACTTAAAATGAGAACCAATGTTTCTATTAGTTTTACTCGATTATATATATGAAACTTCATATAGCTTTTCAACGATCTGTGACTCTGCTTCTATAATTGTGGATGTCAATATACCTTAAGCCTCTACTAAGATCAAGAACATGTATATGTCCACCCGAAACATGGATGTTTGAAGTTTCAAGTTATGAAGTCTTAGGGGCCGTTTACCAAACACTTACCCGGGTAAGTGCTTACCAAGTCACATTACCTCACTGGATTAATATGGTAAGGACTAAGAGTCTTACCCGGTAAATGAGGGCGATGACTCTTACCACGGTAAGCGCTTACCAGGTGAATTGTTGCATACAATGTCATTTTGATGGATTAAAATCGTATCCAGTAAGTAAATAATAGTGTTAAAATTTTATCGGTAAGCACTTACCGGGTAATTTTTCTCATCGGATGAACATGGCAAGGGCCAAGAATCTTACCCGGTAAGAGCAATGATAAGGATGGAGAGTCTTACCCGGTAAGTGAGGGTGACGACTCTTACCTGGGTAAGCGCTTACCTGGTAAATTGTTGCATAGGAGACTTTTTGATGTATTACAATATTACCCAATAAAATAAATTATAGTGTTGACTCCTAAAGTTAAGCACTTACCGGGTAAGCATGTAGGTAAACAGCCTCTTAGTTTAAATTAAAAGAGAACACTCAAGACTTGGTACAGGGATGGCCAGTTGCTGCTCTTGGCACTCTCAAGCCTTCCTTACCTTCTCCCAACCAAAACCTGTGTCTGTTCTTAATTCAAAAATTTGCTTAGGGTTAGATAATTTATTATAGATGTAACTTAAATTGATAAAAGTTCATACATCATGTGTTTTTTTAGTATATCTGCTGCCAATAGATTATTTATTGAATGATATATGTTTGGTGACAGGTTACATGATGTCGTGCACAATGACAAACGTCTGTATTTGGTCTTTGAGTACCTAGACTTAGACTTGAAGAAACACATGGACTCTTGTCCGGAGCTCTCAAAGGATCCTCGTCTTGTAAAAGTGAGTAATCCTTTCATGCCTCCTAGAGGTTGGTGTTTACCCTAGGACTGAACTTAGTTGAAATACCAATGGTTTCCAAGTTCAATAACATTCTCTCTAGAAGTTTACAGTAAGTACATGAAGGCCCTTTTCTGAGAGGATTTGGATACCAAACAAACAACATAGTGCAGTTTGTAGGGATGGTAGTGAAGATCCTTTCAGATTTTCTTGCATGATAAATTTCCCAACTGTGATGTACAATTTGATACCGCGAACATGATAAATTTAGGAATTGCTATTCTGATTTGCTTTCTTACATTGTACTATTGTAGAGCTAGCTTTGTTAGATGTATTGATAAAATTGTGAGAGTCGATATGAGTAGTTGTTGCTTATTCAGATTGTAAAAAATTTCTTCTTTCAATATATCAGGTTCAAATCTATCAGGTTCAAATATTTTACGTATCTCATTTGAATCTTCACACACACACACACACACACACACACACATATATATATATATATATATATACAACCCCCCCCCCAACAAGACCTATTCTTGTAATCTTTCATTAGGTTTCTGCAGTCCTTATTCAGAATCAAACAGTTGACTTTCTTTAAGAAGGTCAAAGAACGATTATATTTAGAAGTTGGGGTTTTGATATGATATGAAGGATAAACATACATGAAATGTTTAGGTTTTGGTAAATTGATCATAAATAGTGTAAGTCTTGTGGAAAGAATTTCATTAATTGAACCTGCAAGTGTTGGATAATTGGAAGTTAGAATTGTGTAGCATGCAATGTGGATTGAGTTGGCAGGGCTTTATGCTCTAGATTAACTGTGTTTCGCCCGGAAGCTGTAATGTTTCTTGTGGTGGGGTTTGGGATGATACATATGCGCTCCATTTTATTTTATATTGCTTTGGTGATGATATTTATAGCTTTGTCTAAGGGATCGTTTACTAAACACTTATGAATAAGCGTTTACCAAGTCAATTATCTTACCGGTTGAGCATACATAACAAGAATCGAGAATTTTATGCGGTAAATGAGGGTGTTGACTCTTATCTGGTAAGCGCGTACCAAGTAAGTACCAATCCACTTTGATTGCCGGAAATGTTACCTGATAAGGTAACCGAGGGCGGTGACTATTGTCGGTAAACATTTACGTGATAAGTGTTTGATATACATGCGAATGATCGTGTGAGAAGAAGATTTAAGGTGAGAAACGTAAGAAGGAATATGAACCATTGATCACCTTTAATCTCAAACCCACCCAAGAAAATCGCGCTTGATTCGGGGATTGATCTGGTGCATCTCATTCTAATGTGTATCCAAGCGTGAAGATCATTTCTTACGTTTTGCTCTCCTTCTCACCGAAACCCAACGCTTGATATACAACCCCAAGTTTTTATGTTGTGTTCTAACTGTATTGAAATGTTGTTGTGACCATAGTATAACAAATTCCAGAAGGCAAAAAATTCAAGCATAATCAAATGGGTAGCAAAGTCCTATCATATAAATTCTAGCATACTTTTCTCTTTTTTTGCATCCATGGCCATTATTTTCATTGTTCATTTGGGAATGCAATACCATTTGTACATACAACCAGTAAATTATATAAATGTTTTGATTGATGTATGCTATTTTGCAAAATGATTTATATTTGTAAGGTAATTTATTAATTTAGAACATTTATCAACTGGTCATCGTTCATTAAATTTTAAATTATATAGAGGGTTAAAACGACAATTTTTACGTCATTCAGACATTGTATTTAGAACATTTATCAAACAATCTTTTTTTTATTCTACACTAAATCATATAAAAGTCTCTTAATCATTCTTCACCATATCATTATGTATTTACCAAACCACCCCTTAGATTAGTTGATCTAATTCAGTTGTTTATTGTATACGATTTTTTTTATTCAACATAATCCAACTAGATTTACACGGTCGATCAGTAACAACGAAGGGTTAAATTGGTTTTTGGTTTTATCCAATATTTTGATCAATCACCGAATAATTTCAACCATTTTTATACACCAAGATGCAAAATACAAATATTACATAAAATAAGTTCTTTTTGTACTTTAATAGTAATTAGATTAGATTGGATCTGTTTAAATATTATTTTATTTTAACAATTTTTCGTCGATCGGCTACAATTAGAACCATAACTCTTATTTATTGAAAACGTATCAATATGTAAATCTTAAGGGATCATTTACTAAACGTTTACTTGATAAGCATTTACCATATCATTAACCTTACCGAATGAACATTATAAGGACCGATAATCTTATCCGATAAGAGTGATAAAGATGGAAAGTTTTATCCAATAAGAGTGATGAAAAAGATGAAGAGTCTTACCCAGTAAAAGTGACGATAAGGACGTAAATTTTTACTTGATAAGTGAGAGTGACGACTCGGTAAAGATGAAGGGTTTTACTCAGTAAGGGCTTACCTGGTAAATTGTTACATATGATACCATTTTGATGGACTACAATTTACCCAGTAAAGTAAGATATATTCTTAAATCTTGGCTGTAAGCATTCAAGTAAACGACCTCCTAAGTGTGAATATATCATCCTTAAAATCTCCACAAACAAAACCAGTAAATCTTCAAAATTGTTTACATTTACAGCTCATGTCGCATTGCGCGGATACACTACTAGTAAATTATAAAACATAAGATACTTTCGGTTAAGATATACTTTTGTTTAAAATTACTTGGAATATTTAAGAATATAATGATTAATGAAAGGCAAATCAACGGTTAACGATCGAGATTAAACGGTACACCTAATATGTACACATGGATTGATTAAAAAACACACATGGGGTAATTAAAAACACACATGCAGTGATTAAAAATACATAATTATTAATTAGAAGGATGGAACGACGCCGTATGACGAGTAATCCGGTGAGATGAAAGCATCGTCAGCTTCGACGTCGATCTCAGTTCGCTTGGCAAATCTTCCTTTGATTCTGGGTCTCGTCTCTGCGTAAGCCTTCCTTGAAGCATATCGAATCGTCTTCTCGAACTTCCTGTTCTTTCTCTTTTCTTTGTATCTTAAAACCCTGGCTTCTCGATCGAATCCCATCACAGGACTTGGATAGACCTCCGCTGATGATTGGTGGTGGTGGTGGTGGTTGTTTGATACATCTGCCATGGCGGCTTTGTGGTCCGGGACCACGCCTACTTCGATTTCTAGTGAAGATGATGATACCTAATGATGAACATCTCATGACTAATTAGTTATTTGTTCAATGAAATTAAAGTAGTTTAGGAAGATTTGAAAGTATTTAGATTGAACTTACGCTTTGGCTGATGGTTTGAGAAGTGAAATTGTACATGAAAGGCTTAGATCCGGTGTAATCGATGTCATAAGCCGGTAATCCTTCGACTACATCTGAAGAAACATGTCCATGTGGTGGTATTTGGTAATGCTGATTATTGTTCTTGTTCTGTACCGGAACGACTCCATCTGTTGGGGAATTGTATCGATGAAGGATCTGATTAGGCTTTTGATTTGGCGTTTTCAGATCTATATCAATATACGGATCGATCTCGTTGAACAAGTATCCCGATTCCGATTCCGTAACCTTGACATTATTATCATCATCAGATCCATCAGCGATTTTGTTGAGATTTGGATTCGGAGTCGGAAGTAGCCACGAGGCAGCCTCGGCTTCCTCAGCTTCTGTCCCGGCGACGTTCACATCGAAATCCAAGAGGTAATGGTGATCGCTGTTACCACCTCCACCGCCAAGCTTCGACACAGTAGTGGCGGGATCATAAAACGGAACGACGGGAAACCGTTCGTGGCGGCGAGCGAGGGGATTGGCAGAGTGGATATCACGGTCACAGGTAACACAGAGGGCAGCCGCGTCGGCCTTGCATGTGACGCTCGCCGGAGCCTGCTCACAGACCTCACACATCCACACGCGCGCGTGGCGAGAAGCGAGCTTGTTGGCGGCGTGTATCTTGCCGTCGCAAGTTATACAGAGGAAGGCGGAGTCGGCTCTACAGAAGAGGCTCGCCGGCGAGGTTTTGCAGGAATCACAGACAGCCATGGTCCAGCTCTCTTTGGCCATGGAAGTTTGGTATGTGATTTTGGTTTTCGGTTCTTGCCAGTGAAAACCACCCAACAACAAAGCTATCCATAGACAGTTAAGTAGCCAATGAGGGATTGACACGTATTAGAGCCTTAGCCAGAATGGGTGGATGATCCCTGGTCAAAAATAATTGAGGGACCGGACGAACGAGGGTTTGACTAGGATAAGGCTCACTTACTAGTAAACTACAATTTTTACCCCTGTGGCTTATACAAAACTACCAAAAACATCCATAAACTTCAAGAAATATGGTAACGGTCCTTGGGGTTTGCATTTTGCTTCGAAAGTAATCCTTCTTTGTAACACAACACCGTTAGGTTAAAGAGATATTTTTGTCATTTTATTTTTTTCATTTATTTTTTTAACAATACCTTCAGCACCATCTGTATTAGCAGCGAAACCAAGTACCCGGCTACGGAATCGGAACCGCCTTGGAACCATCGGTTCCGGAACCGGAACCGATATGAGTGGTTCCGGTTCCGATTCCTAAAACACGGAACCGATTGAGAATGGTTCTGGTTCCGATTCTCAATTTTTCGGAACCGTTACCCGCCGGGTACCCGGTATTTCTCAATAAAAAAATATTATTATTTTCTAATACCAATTTTATATTAGGTTTACATCTTGAAAGCACGTCGTCATCTTCATTCTTCATCTAAATTCTTCATATAAAATGATTCGTATTTTTTCAAATTGTGTGTTCACTTTGATTCATAGTATGTAATTGTTAAACTTTGAACATTTACCATTATAGTATGTAATCGTTAAACTTTGAACATTTTCTATTAGTCTATTATGGTTTGTAATTGTTAAACAATATTTGTAACCATTATTCTGTATAATTTGTATTCTTGCTTATTTATTTAGTGTTTTGACAATGTTTTATTTTTTATTTCTAAATAACAAAATTTTAATATTTTAGGAAGCGGGTACCTGGAACCGGAACCGGTTCCCGGCGGTTCCGGTTCCGATTCCAAAAATTTAAGAACCGCTCTAACCGGTTCCGGTTCCGGTTCCAATATCTCAAGAACCGCCGGTTCCGGTTTTGGTTCCGATTTCTGTCAAAAAAGACGAGTACCCGCCTATGCTCACCCCTATCTGTGATGACTCCCTCATTCTCAAATGTATCCCCTCCCTTTGTTTTTCTCTCACCTTAGCAGCAACAACGCTTTTGCTTTCCCTTAGCCGAACTACACCCCTCCACATTCATTCTCCATTTCCCCTCTCAACCACTTCCATCCCCATCTCCATGCCAACCAATACCAAATTCAGTTTCATTCTTCTTTCCACCATCACCCAATCGTTTATCTCTATAGATTCATAACCATACACACAAATGCACACATATACAATGTATACAGGTGGGTTTTGGTCACAAGTTTCCTACATCGCTTCTCTCTATTTTTATCCTTGACGGAATGGAAGATGGGAGAGAAGAACATAGTATTGGGGCTACGGGTGGGTTTTGGACCTGTTGGTCATGGTTTTTGGTTGTATGTAGGTTTTAGATCATAATCACTCGAGTACATGTCTTCTAAGGTTTTAGTGGCCTTCTCACTTGATCCATCATAAAGTTCCAATCTTTAAATTTCTTGAAGTTGTTTCTTGATTGCAATCTCACTTTTACTGAGTTTCGAGCTTGAGGTGTTTTTGGTTTTCTCTCTCGTTCTTTTTAACCTTATAGATGTTTTATTTTGACTTACAACTTGTATGAAATTGACAAGATGATTGTTATTATACTTATCGAAATTGACAAACGTTGTAAGTAGTTTTGTGTAAATAACAAGGACCAAAATTGTAGTTTACTCTAAATTTATTGAACATCAAATATCAGATATATGTCGAGCCTTCATTTATGTTTATTTACTTTCATCCATCTCCGTTCATCAACCATCATTTTACCTCTGGATACCTACTTGTATCATCACAATAAGAACTTTAACAAATTCATGCATGTAAATGTGACAGTGTAACACCTCAATTATGTAAAAGTGCGACTAATTTAAATTTTTTGATAAACATCATAAGCAGTACAATTTTCTCCACAAATGTCAACATTGAATATTCTACATATATACATAAGGTTTAAAGCCAACAACATTCAGAACGGAATCTTACACAAGATCTACGTAAGAAGGTTGTTACTAAAACCCGTATAATAGTCGATATCTCTAAGATGCGGAAGATGCCCCAAAGAGTTAGTCCTTCCCGTGCTTCTAACTAATACTCATCTCAAGTGTCACTACTACCGCCCTTACCAGGACTTGATGCACATGCCGAAAAAAAAAGTGTTAGGTTTCATAGACTAGTAAGCTCAAGCAATTTTCATCTCATCTCATATATATATATATATATATATATATATATATATATATATATATAATGGTAAAACTGAACGAATGCAGTTTAAATCACAATATTTTCCCAAATAAAATGTATTTAATATAAAAGCAACATTTTTTCCAAAACCTACCATTCCCATAATAAAAACTCCATATATAAAACAGCCATCTGAATATGAAACCAAAATCAAATACTCTCTCAAAACGTGAATACTTCAAAATATTTAAATATCGATCATGGATAAAACTCCATTATCCATACAATCAAAAACAAAGATACAACTTAATATCCCAAAATGGCAACTCAGGGACAACACTTCATATCTAAAACAACACTTTTCAGTGACGGGGAGACCAGTTTTCGTCGACCATGGCGAAACACAAAGTAATCCATACGTCAATATTATCATGTAACACATTAAGATTCAATTGACCGTAGTGTCTACTCTTTTGAGCTTCACCTCAAGGTTCATGTTTTTTGGTGCCTACCCCTCTAGGTAGCACCTCAAGGCTTGTGGTTCTTAGCCTACCCCTCGGCATAGCACCTCAAGACTCAATCGTGCCTACCCCTCGGCATAGCACCTCAGGACTCAATAATTTGAGTGCATACTCTATAAAATTTACCGTTGTAAAAAAATCACTCTGTTTACCCTTTGGCTATTCACAACTTTTAGCATTGGGTTAATACTAACATGTGTACATAAATCACTCTGTACAACTTAAACATGTTAAATAACTTCGTAGGTATTTACCTCCCATATACTAACGCCACATGTATAAAATACGACACCATGTGTACCATACAATTCAGTGAACATATACCAACGAGATCAAATGACGCTAAGACTCAATACATGCCAAAGACGACCGACTCTTATGCATACGGATCCATTGCATGACAACTCTAGATCACATGACTCCAATTTGAATGATCATCACACTCAAAACATGCAATCTTAATTAAATACCCAATATACACAAAACTCGTTCAAATATCACCATTGAACCATTTTGTGGAACATAGTTCCAAAACATCTTTGAACCAATTTCAAACCAACAAAAATCCCCAACTCGCTTAACTATTCCATAAAAGTCAATACAAATACTTTACTCCATATTTATGTAATTTCTTTTATCAAAGTCAGAATATATCACAATAACTCTATTTATCTGAACCAATCTTCAAAACATCACATTCTAGTGACTTGTATCTCCAAATGTCTCAAAACCAAATACAACTATTTTCAAGGTTTATGAAATCAAATGTACCATTGATACATACATACCAAATAACTGCCAACATTGGATAAAAGCGCAAGGAACTCATTTGGGAGCTCAAAATATACATTATTGACAAAATAGCCATAGTTTCCGGACCCAACTCTTGCTTCCAAATATGAAGGTTTGACATTCACCAAAGCTTTTCCAAGAAATTCCTCAAACCATAGCTCAGGCCTTGGAATATACCAAAAATGAGCACATACTCCAGGTGTATCAAGATCCCCAAAATAGATCTTAAAATAACCAAAGTGCTGACCCTTTTCAAGGATTTAGAACCTTCCACCCAAACTTTATGATAGAGCTCTCCCAAGTCTTCAAACCAAAGCTTCCAAGGACGAAGCTTGAGTTCTTCAAGCAAATCTCCTGTAATAGTGATCTCAAATCTCCTCAGTCAAGTCATTTCCTAGCACTTTAGAAGTTCCCTAAATTTGATCTATCCCTAGACGATTTCTCCTAAGAGAGGAATGGAGATAGAGAGCAAACCCTAGCTAAAAATGGCTTAAAAATCTGTCAGGTGAAGAATACGAGTTATGGTGTGACTTTAGTCGCACCATATGTAACACCCTCATTCCATTCCATAGGAAGGGGGTCGCTTCAAAACATAACGGAGCCGATATATAAAACCTCCAAAATATAGCCTACAATACAAAAAAAAATCTTTCAATAACGAAATTAAATATATCCCAAATAAAGAAATAAACATCTCCAAACAAACCACTTCAAGTACCTTCCAACAACTCAAGGAAAATCCAAATACAACCTTAAAAGAAATGCTAGTCTAATAACCAAATATATAAATTCTTTGAATGAATAACATAGCACTAAACCTCTCGAAACCTTTGAAATCGAGATCCTAGTCTACTCTTCGTCACAAGACTTACCCGTCACCTTGATTACCTGCCGTGAGGAACAGAAACACGGCTGAGCCAATGCCTAGTGAACGATAAACAATTATAGTAAAATGGTAATACAAACACGCCAAAATTGATCTCAAGATATCGGACAAAACGAGTACCAAAATCTTTCAACCAACAGGAGAAGTGTTAGACATAAAGCCACATTGGCCTGTACGTTGGACTGCAGATCCACACATACTAGATGTGAGATGTAGTGTTGGACACTACACCGACATCCACCCTACAAAGAATCATATGTGCTAGGTTCGACGCATACACCTCCTAAATTTAATATCCATCACACCAAATAGCTCTCACAAGAGCACCAAAGAGGAGACGTCATGGACTGATCACACAGCCACAGTCAGTGTCACGCCATCGGTGCCACAATGACATGCCTATGGTATGATGGTTAGTAGCTCGACTTACCAGAGTTAACTTGTCTCTCAATTAAGAACGA